ATTTTGTTTACCAATGTATTCTTGCAGGATCTGGACATGGAAGCAGAGACATAAGGGCGGTTAAACTCCATGTTCCAGTTAACTTAATTAATGGACAAAACAACATTTCAATCCTCAGTGGGATGGTTGGTCTACCGGTAAGGCGTTTGCTTTAACCAAAACCCGGTTTAATGTTTTCTTGTATCACACGGAAGATTAGAATCATAACACGTTTTCTTCATCCTTTGAATAAAAAGGACTCTGGAGCTTACATGGAGAGCAAATCATATGGACTAACCAGAGCTCAAATTAGCTGTGAGGGGACAAAGACCATCGATCTGAGTAGATCTCAGTGGGGTTACTCGGTAATTAAGAAAACGTCTTAAGGTCATGAATTTGATTGAGGAGTGTGTTGATACATAACCTAACATGTATGTCTTGTGAAGGTTGGATTGCTTGGGGAAAAAGTTAGGTTATATAAATGGAGGAATCTAAAGAGAGTGAAGTGGAGTACCAATAACGCTGGACTCATTAAGAATCACCCTCTCGCTTGGTACAAGGTATGTATTTTCGATTTTGTAAAAAATCTAAAATTATGTAATGTGTGTGACATATTATATGTAAATTATTTTATATGCAGACGATGTTTGATGAGCCGAGTGGAGATGGACCAGTGGGGCTTAACATGGAGAGTATGGGCAAAGGAGAAATGTGGGTGAATGGTGAAAGCATTGGTCGTTATTGGGTTTCCTTTCTCACTCCTTCTGGCCATCCTTCTCAATCTATGTAAGTGTTAACACATTTAACTACTTGCACATTCTGAACATGAAAAGTTGTATGTTTAACTGAGCATTTTTTGATGGGGATGGATGCAGATATCATATTCCAAGGGAGTTTCTGAAACCATCTGGAAACTTGTTGGTGGTATTGGAAGAGGAAGGTGGTGATCCTCTTGGGATATCTTTGAATACAATATCGGTTGTTGGTTCGAACCAATCTCAGTCTCCACTGTCCTGAATATTTTTTATACATTTGTTTTGTTGGTAATTGGGGGGCTATTTTGGACCAAAGTGATCAATAAAATTTATTGAGTGTCCGATAAAAGTCGTAAGAAATTTTAACACAATTTCATACCAACAGTCATATATCACTGATCTATATCTAGGTGGTATACACTGGTTTACTGAATATTTTTATGAATATACACACTACTATTAAGGTACTGTTTATATAAAACTACTCTCCGATTAATTTCTGCTTAATTAATTCGGTGCTAGCCACTGCACGCGTAACGCCAATCGAGTTCTCGAACATTGGATACACTTAAGATTTCGCCTTACCTCTAATCTAAAAGTTAAAACAAAAACTATTAAACAGTAAGCATTATGACATTCAACTTAATTTAAAATTATTAATACCATTATAATAAAACTTTTTTTTAACAGATAAAACTATTATATTTGAACAAGCAAAGCAAAAATACTTCAGATTAAAACATAGACTAGAAACGAAAGGCAAGAGCTGCTGCTGCTGATAACTTAGGCTAATAAGATTATAATACCATTATAATTAAGCGGGGATTATCGGGGAGTAGTTTTATATAAACCGTACCTTAATAGTAGTGTGTATATTCATAAAAATATTCAGTAAACCAGTGTGTATATTTAGTTTTTTGATCAAATCAATGTGTATATTCACCTAGATATAGATCAGTGATATATATACGACTGTTAGTATGAAGTTGTGTTAAAATTTCTTACAACTTTTATTGGACACTCAATGAATTTTATTGATCACTTTGGTCCAAAATTCCTCCTCCCCCCCCCCCCCCCAATTACCAACAAAATAAATGTATAAAAAATATTCAGGACAGTGGAGACTGAGATTGGTTCGAACCAACAACCGATATTGTATTCAAAGATATCCCAAGAGGATCACCACCTTCCTCTTCCAATACCACCAACAGGTTTCCAGATGGTTTCAAAAACTCCCTTGGAATATGATATCTGCATCAATCCAATCCATATCATAACCAACAAACAAAATGTTCACTTTAACAATTTTTTTTAATATTCAGAATGTGTTACTAATTGACATGTGTTAACACTTACATATATTGAGAAGGATGGCCAGAGAGAGTGAGAAAAGATACCCAATAACGACCAATACAACATCGGTTGTTGGTAATTGGGGAGTTCTTTGGACCAACATGGTCGATAAATTTAATTGAAAGATCCAATATAAATCGTATGAAATTTTACAACAACCTTACCTACAATCTTATATCATTGATCTGAATCTATGTGAAATATATACACCCTAAGTCACTAAATATATATATATGAAGATTTGTAGTCTAATTGTCAGATTCTAAGAAGAATCAATTGACACAAGAAAATATAAAGTAAGGTTTATATAAAGGAATTAACATGGTTTATATTCTTCGGATATTATAAGAAATAAAGTAGAAATATCCACCGATCTCGCCTCGTATTCCAAAGTACTAAAAGATCCAACTGAATCCTGACACTTCGTCGGTCCGCCGAATCCAGTTGTCTCTTCACCGACACTAGATTCACAAAGCTTCACCCGCCGTTTTAAACTGTGGAATGCACGCGCACTCTCACGATGTTGTCACTCTTCCCCGTCTTGTATACGCTCCGATAGCAGCGCGTGGGTTGAGAAGAAGCAGAGTCACTTCACTGGACATGGACCCAAGAAGTTTAAGACTTCAGCTATATCGTCATTCGATTTGTTGGGACTTACTCTATAAATCTATAGTTAGCTGATAAAGAAGATGACCAACATTTACCAGTCTATAACCTAAGTACCTAACTCAAAAACAAGAATATTCATATTGAAAATTCGTTAGAGCATCTCCATCCCTGAAACTCTAGTAAAAGTTCATAAATTTTTTTTTTAATTTTTTATTATGTTTTTCAGAACTAAAAAAAAAAAAAAGAGAACCACTCGCGGGCCGACACTTGGCAGTCGGGCCGTGAACAGTGTAAGAGTTGCCTCTTAAATAAAGAGTTTTGTAACCAAACTCTTAACTATTCATCGATGTGACAATATTGTTTATTAATTTTTTTTTTTTAAAAACTTATGAACCTCTCCAAGGTTCACCATTGGAGGTGGTCTTACATAAGAAACATTTGTTCCTCAACTAGTTGAAGCTCTTCAATATATACACAGCTCTGGAAATAACTACTGGAAGAAAGACAATAAAAATTAGTTGGTTATATATGACTATAGATCAAAGAAAGGCACCATGGAGACACAAAGATGCCAGAAAACGTGGATTGGTCGGAGAGGAGCGTTTTGAAAATCTTTGTAAACCAAAAAAGAAATCTGCAGTATCCATTTTCATTTATTCATTGCATGTGATATGTTCTTTGGTGATAGAGATGAAAAAGACATATTATCATAATACAAAAAGATAACCAGTTCTTTTTAGCCTTCTCATGAACGTGTGAAACTGATTGTTTTGTCTTCACAACCATTACGTGTTGAGAGAACATAGAAAGGGTTAAAGCTACTTACTTTTGTATCAAAGTCAAATTTGGTTAAAAAATATTATAAAGATCTAACGACTTTGCTTTTTGTTACGTCTTTTTCTCTCTTGAAGTTTACTTCAGCACTTATCTAAGGGACCATGACGATTGTCGTCTATTCAAGTGGCCACTCTACGCCATGCCAAGGATCATCTTGTTTTGCTTTTTTTTTTTTGTTTTCTTTTCTTCCGGTAAATTTATATATAGTATAACAGACTTGAATGAATCTGACATTTACATTAACGTAACGATAACAGTATTGATGAGCACCCGTTCATATTCGCACAGGGTATTTCAAACTTTCGAAGGCTTTAATTCTAATTAGAGCTTGACCCGCACACCCGTGCGGGTTTATTTTTACGTTCTTAAAATTTTTTTTATTATACATAATAATAATATATAGTTTTAAAATATATATGTATTAAATCATTGTTTAATATGACATCTTTGAAATTAATATATAAAAATGTTAACTATGCGTTTTTAATACGTAAACTATAATTATTATGCACTTCTAATATTTTCATATTTAAACCTTCGATATTTTAGGGAAAAAAAAATCAGTAGCATAATATTTTATATTATAAAATCTAAGGAATAACCAGAAATAATTTTGTTTTTTAAGTTAATAAACAATTTAGGAAATGTATTAAATTAATTGAAAAAGACAACATTACTAAAAATTAGGATTATTAATAAATACAATGGCATTGTAGTGTAAATAACTTAAAAAATTAAGGGATATATTTTATTGGTACTTCTGTTTTAATAAGATAGATTAGGTGAATTCTAATATTTTATTATTACAGTTTGAGTTTAGATAATATTATTCTAGATTTGGTTTAAATTTATTTAACGTTTTAAAACCCATAAAATAATCATATATCATTTGAATTCAGATTATATCGATTATGTTCAAATATATCTAAAATAAAAGATGAAATTAAAAAAAAACATTTAGACTGAATATAAACTAATCCAACATATATCAAGTTGATACAATAACCAATAAATTGTTTAAGTAACCATGAAAACCAACATTAAACATTATGCACCTTATAAATTAAGTAAATTTGTTATTTCAACTAGCAAATTATGAAATACCTATTTATAACTAACTAAATATTAAAAAAAATTATTTAAATTTTAATATTATTTTATACCATATATTGAGTATTTGAAATACTTATATATATTTCATATATTTAAATATATTATTAAAATTTTGGATTATTTATTCGGTTAATAACACTTTAAATTCAAAGTATTTTTTACCATTTTACAAGATTCGTTTATATATTTTTATATTTTGATTGGATAATGGGATCCGGTTTTCTGGCTTGAGTTCCAGATTTTATGCCAGCTCTTACAAAATTTATAGTACTAATATTAATGAGAATCAACAAAAATAAATAAAAATATCACAGTGAAGAGTGATTTGGTCACTCTCTCTCTCACACACTATCACACAAACCAAGAAAGACTGCTGGAAGCTCTTTAAAAGGGATAATAAATCTTGTTTCTCCCTCTCAACCGGAGAAAACAGGGTTTAAGTTCTTTTCCACAACAACACTCATTAAAGACAAAAACAAATAAAGATGAAGCGAGTTACTACTAAAAGCTTTGCTTCTCTGGCGAGTCTGGTGTTAGCTGTTGTGTTCCTCTTCTCTCTGAAAGCTACTGCGGCGGCGAATGTAACATATGACCACCGTTCTCTCTCAATCGGCGGTCGCCGTCAGCTCATTATCTCAGCCGCCATTCATTATCCCAGAAGTGTTCCAGCTGTTAGTAACTAACTCACTCTTCTTCCCTTTTTTTGAGGCCAAAGTTCGAAGCTTTTAATCGGATTTGTGCTCTTTGTAACATTTAAGAGAATAAAGTTTTAAGCTTTTTGATTTCATATGAGTTGGGTTCTTAGCTATGATTGTAGTTTGAGTCTGGTGAGGCCAAAGTTTGAAGCTTTTTTGAGATTTATGCTCTGTTTTGATTGTTCTCTTCTTTGGTTTTGTACATTTAAGCGAATAAAAGTTTCAAGCTTGTGAGAGGTTAGTTCATTCTTTGCAAAGGAGATTACTGAATCAGATTCTTAGCATACATTTTGAATAATGGGTTTGATGGCATATGAGTTGTGGGTTCTTAGCTATGATTGTAGTTTGAGTTGGAAAATGTCTCTCTTGAGATTTTTTTTTTTTGTTGCTGATGAAGTAGTTTTTTTTTTAATATTATTGCAGATGTGGCCATCGCTTGTTCAAACAGCAAAAGAAGGAGGCTGCAATGCAATAGAGTCCTATGTGTTTTGGAATGGCCATGAGCCTTCTCCTGGAAAGGTTAGTGCATTTTGTTGAGCTGTGTGTTCATCATCAATTTTTTTTTTTTTTTCTGATTAAGATTGGGTTTTGTTGTTTGGTGTGTAGTATTATTTTGGTGGACGGTATGATATAGTGAAGTTCATCAAGACTGTTCAGCAAGCTGGAATGCATATGATTCTGCGTATTGGACCTTTTGTTGCTGCTGAGTGGAACTACGGGTAATGCTCTTTCCTTCTTCACTAGTTGTGTCCCTGTAGGTATATAGATTTGTTATTGAACTCTTTGTGGTTACAGGGGAGTACCTGTTTGGCTCCATTATGTGCCAGGAACAGTCTTCAGGCAAGATAACGAGCCATGGAAGGTAGCAAACACAAATTTTCAAAAACTCTGTTTTCTTTGTTACTAGAAAACTCATGCTCTCTGTGACCTCTGTTTCAGCATTACATGGAGAGTTTTACAACCTATATAGTAAACTTACTGAAGAAAGAGAAGCTTTTTGCACCACAGGGCGGTCCAATAATCTTGTCTCAGGTTAAAGACATATATGGCAAACATATTATACTTCAGCATCCTTCTGTTTTGATATTTGTTCTTATTAACAATGTGATTTTTCATTAGGTGGAAAATGAGTATGGGTATTATGAGCGTGATTACGGAGAAGGAGGGAAGCGGTATGCTCAATGGTCTGCTTCTATGGCTGTTTCACAGAACATTGGTGTTCCATGGATGATGTGCCAACAGTGGGATGCTCCTGCCACTGTGGTAAAGTCTATATCAAAATCTGCAACACAAGATCTCTACACATCTTAAAGTGTATGTACGCAGAGTTTTGATGGATTTCTCGTATTACCTTTTGCAGATTAGTACCTGCAATGGCTTTTACTGTGACGAGTTTACACCTAATACAGCTGATAAACCCAAGATATGGACTGAGAACTGGCCTGGATGGTAACAAGATTGATCAATGGTCCCTTTTATCATTCCTTAAAAGAGTATTTTCTCATTCTTCTTCTTCTTGAAGGTTTAAAACTTTTGGAGGCAGAGACCCACATAGACCAGCAGAGGACGTAGCTTACGCTGTTGCTCGTTTCTTCCAGAAAGGAGGAAGTGTTCACAACTACTACATGGTAAATACTAGTTAGTTTCTTCAAGAGGAGCAAACTACTTAGCTATATATAAACTTAATGTATCTTTTGATCTGTGTAGTATCATGGAGGAACAAACTTTGGACGTACTTCAGGAGGACCATTCATCACAACAAGCTATGACTATGAAGCTCCCATCGATGAGTATGGTGAGTTTGCGTAACAAAGTGATCTCTATGGAGTGGAGATAACTCTCAACTTATGTTTTGCTTCTGTTTAGGATTGCCAAGATTACCAAAATGGGGGCACCTTAAGAATCTCCATAAAGCTATAATGCTCTCTGAAAACATGTTGATCAGTGGCGAGCATAGGAATTTTTCGTTAGGCCCTTCACTAGAGGTAGATATTCCGCAAAACAAGACTTTTGTTTCTGTCCGAATGTTCCTTCTGATGTGTTTTTCAACTTTTAGGCTGATGTGTACACAAGTTCTTCAGGAAGCTGTGCTGCGTTTCTGTCAAACTCAGATGATAAAAACGACAAAACGGCTGTATTTCAAAACAAGACATATCACTTACCTGCTTGGTCAGTTAGCATTCTACCTGACTGCAAAAACGAGGTTTTCAACTCTGCAAAGGTAAAAAGAAAAAGAAGCTGATTCGGATTTCGGACAATGAGTCAATGACACACCAAACAATGCAAGCTTGACTGATTCTGTTTTTACATTTGCAACAGGTAACTGCGAAGTCCTCTAAGGTAGAAATGTCACCTGAAGATTTGAAGTCTTCATCAGGTCTTAAATGGCAAGTGTTCTCAGAGAAGCCAGGTATCTGGGGAGAAGCAGACTTTGTGAAAAATGAACTTGTTGATCATATCAACACCACAAAGGACACAACTGACTATCTTTGGTACACAACAAGGTCAGTGTTTCTTGTAAAATACAGCAGATAAGCTTGTCGAGATAGAAACTAAAGAAAATGTATTTCAATCTCTTGCAGTGTAACAGTCAGTGCTAATGAAGAGTTTCTGAGAAAAGGAACCGGCCCGGTTCTGTTTATTGAATCAAAGGGGCATACTCTTCATGTTTTCATTAACAAGGAGTACTTAGGTATATATCAAAACTCTATGTGATTCTTTTGGTTAGTTCTCGCAACTCGAGTTTCTTACTGATTGCACGTCAATGTGTCTACTGGTTTCTAGGAACTGCGACAGGGAATGGAACTCATGTGCCTTTCAAACTCAAGAAATCAGTTCCTCTCAAAGCAGGAGAAAACAATATTGATCTGCTTAGCATGACTGTTGGTCTTTCGGTAATTCTATAAACAGAAAGTTTCAAAGCAGTATCATTTTGGTTATGCATCATCATCCCCACTCATGCATTTTGGTTCATTTCTGGTACAGAATGCAGGGTCCTTCTATGAATGGGTTCCAGCTGGACTTACAAGCGTCTCAATAAAAGGACTCAACAATGGCACATTGAACTTGACAAATAGCAAATGGTCCTACAAGGTTATATAACTCTACCTAGATACCTCTCATATTCTCCTCTCTTTGATGAGTACCTAAATACTAATTCCATGAAATCTTGCAGCTCGGTGTGCAAGGAGAGCATCTAGGTATCTTCAAGCCAGGTAACTCTGGGGGTGTCAAATGGACCGTGACTGCTAAACCTCCCAAGAAACAACCATTGACTTGGTATAAGGTAATGCAACTCTTTGGCAAAAACCAAGATTGTTTGTAGAGGATCAAGTGTTTTGTTTCCTGTCTTTAAAAGATCTGGATCTTTTGGTAGGTTATCATAGACCCACCTTCTGGAAGTGAACCGGTTGGGCTTGATATGATCAGTATGGGGAAAGGAATGGCTTGGCTAAACGGTGAAGAGATTGGAAGATACTGGCCCAGGATTGCTAGAAAGAACTCTCCTAATGATGAATGCGTTAAAGAATGTGACTACAGAGGCAAATTTATGCCGGATAAATGCAACACTGGATGTGGAGAGCCATCTCAAAGATGGTATTAAAGATCTTTCGTTTTTTTTTTTCACATCTCTTTTATGTTCAAATCTGATTCTTGGCCTTTGGCTTAGGTATCATGTTCCACGATCATGGTTTAAGCCTTCCGGGAATGAGCTTGTGATCTTCGAGGAGAAAGGTGGCTATCCCACGAAGATAAAGCTGTCTAGACGGAAAGTCTCTGAGGTTTAAACAAGAAAGTTAATGATCAATAATGCATGAACCTGAGTTATGTTACCATGAAGCCAAAGAGAAGATCGTTTTTTGTCTGTATTTTTTCTGTTGCAACACCAAAATAACAAACAAGATTTCTATCTGGTAACACATCTTACACCATCAAGCTATAACTTAAGCATTGTTCACATTACATTTTCACTCATTCTATCTCCTGAATTACAACACCGCCTTTTCGAGTATGACCTTTCTCCTTCACATCTCTAAACCCTTTGTACTCATTAAGCTCAACAATCAAACTCTTCTCTGCCCTAACCGATGCCTCCAACGCTCGCCACACTTCCGGAGTCTGCTCATTAACCCAACACATCATGAAAAACACTTTCCTATCCGCAAGCTTCAGTTTCTTCTTCAGCTCACGCCCTGAAGATCTAACTTCCTGTATCCCACCAACAATCACCCTCTGGAGATCACAAAGCAAACACACAAGAGCTCCACTACCAAGAGAAAGCAAATGAATCACATCATCAACCAAACTCAACCCAAATTTCAAACCACCACCAAGACTTTTATAATCTGAAGAACACGTCTGCTCCAAACAAAACGACAACACTTCCTTCAAACTCCCAGGTTGTGCGTTCTCCCCCAACACTGACGAAACACTAAGCACCATCGTCCCTGCACCTAACGAATCAGACTCCCATTCTCCGTTATAGATACGAAGGGTAAAACAGTAACTATACAAAACATCAACCAAGTGGATTGGTAACAACGGAGACGCCTTCTTGGAGCTAAGCTTGCTCAATGAGACTAAAGACGCATCGGGTCCTTTAGGGATTCCACTCACAAAGGTTGCTCCTTTATCATCATCATCCCCTTCAAGGCATTGTACCAATTGCTTACCTTGAGCCCCAAGGTTAATCCTTTGAGCTGAATAACTTAACCACCAAGGATCCCAAGGCTCAATCATTTTACTAATCTCTCCACAAGCTAAAGCTCTTTGGAAACCTTTCCTCTCCTCTAAGCTCAAATCATCGAAACTAATCTCATCTCCAGCGAGAATCTTCTCAATTGTTTCCTTCGGTAACGAACCTTCACAATCCGTGATGACGTCATCATCTTCTTCTTCCTCTTCTTCTTGGTGAAACCGTTTCAGAATCTCGAGCATCTTCGTTCTAGTTTGGTCATCGGAGCGGACTTGGCGCAGCTCGTCGACGACGTTCTCTCGCATGAAGGACTCGGTGCATTGGACGCTGTGGGATTTGTAGCAGGGGAGAGAGCAGTAGCGGGAGTTGCAGCGAGGACACGTGTACTGCGCGAGCTGCTTGTTGCAGACGTGGCAGATGGTACGTGTTGAAGAGGGGATTAGAGGAGAGGAGTTTGGAGTCTCCGATGTAAGGATCGTCTTCTCCGGCGTCATCTTTTCGCGAGGATTCGAGAATTAGGGTTTTAGTTTGAAGAAGACAAGATCCGTAAACCTCAAATATACGTAAAATCGATTTGGGCCGGGCTGTGGATAACACGTGCCTTAATTGGGCTTTTAAGCCCAAACTGTAATTTTGCAGGTCATATTTAGGCCTGGGCGTTCATAGCCCATTCGGTATCAGTCCGAGTGATTCGGATTTTCGGTACTATGTTTATAAGTACCATTCAATTTTTACTAATTATCGGATCGGGTTTGGTTCGGTTCTTTCCTGATTCGGTTTGGATCGGATCTAACCAACAGAGAAGAAGATTTTTTCAAAATATATAAATTATTTATAAATCTAATTAAAAATTAGTTAAATTATCTAAAAAATATTAAAAATAACAAATAAAACTAATTAAAAAATATTTTAAATACTCTAAAATATCTAAATCGCCTTAACATATATAAAACCATTAACATATTTAATTAGTTTCGGATATCTTCGGATCCTAATTCCGATTTTGGATTGGTTCGGGGAAAAGTCTAAAGTAGTAATCTCATAAGTCTCCTTTGGATATTTTTGTAAAACAGTTCAGATTCGGTTTCAGGTTTTCTGGTTCGGGTTAAAGTCGGTATTTCATTTCAGATTGAGTTAAAAACGTCCAGCCTAGTCAGGTTTTCGGGTGGTTACTTATAAGTTATAACCTACTCGAAAAGCTCGCTCAAGTGTTTTTAACGACCCATTTTGATTAGCAGGCCTTAAATGGGCCTATAAGCTTCTGTTTGGGTATTCTGGTGGATATATCCGACCCGGAAAGATCACCTCCCTCTCACCCTCAGTGTTCTTCTTCTTCTTCCTCTCAATCTAGAGATTTCCATGAACGAGGGAGGAACCAAAATGAGATCTCTTCTCTTCATACTATCACTCATCTACTTCACCTCACAACCATCCCTCTCATGGAAGAAGGAAGAGTTTCGCACCTGTGACCAAACACCATTCTGCAAACGCGCTCGATCCCGCGCCCCCGGCGCGTGTTCCCTCATCGCGACCGACGTCTCCATCACCGACGGAGATCTAATAGCGAAACTCATCCCTAAGATCCCTAACAACCAAAGCAGCGATCATCAGATCAAGCCGTTGATACTATCCCTCACCGTTTACACGGATCGGATCGTACGGCTCAGGATCGACGAGGATCATTCACTGAACCCGCCGAGGAAGAGATTCAGAGTCCCCGACGTTGTAGTCTCCGAGCTCGACGATAACAAGATCTGGCTTCAGAAACTCTCCACGGAGACGATCTCCGGAGACGCCACTCCTTCCTCGATAATCCACGTGTCGGATAACCACGAGGCGGTGGTGAGGCACGCGCCGTTCGAGGTGTATATCCGGGAGAAATCAGGCGATCGCGTAGTGTCTATAAACTCTAACGGCTTATTCGATTTTGAGCAGTTAGAGAAGAAAAACGAAGGAGATAACTGGGAAGAGAAGTTTAGAACTCATACGGATTCGAGACCTTACGGTTCTCAATCCATTAGCTTCGACGTTACCTTCCACGATTCGAGTTTCGTTTACGGGATACCTGAACACGCTACTAGCTTCGCGTTGAAGCCTACCAAAGGTCCTGGAGTTGCGGAATCTGAGCCTTATAGGCTATTTAACCTCGATGTCTTTGAATATGAACACGATTCGCCGTTCGGACTCTACGGATCGATTCCATTCATGGTTTCTCATGGAAAATCCGGTAAAACCTCGGGGTTTTTCTGGTTAAACGCTGCTGAGATGCAGATTGATGTTTTATCCAAAGGATGGGATGCAGAGAACCGTATTGCATTGGGCTCTAGTGAGGATAGGATTGATACATTGTGGATGAGCGAGGCCGGGATCGTGGACACGTTCTTTTTCGTGGGGCCGGAGCCTAAGGATGTTGTGAAGCAGTATGCTAGTGTGACTGGTACTTCAGCTATGCCTCAGTTGTTTGCTACTGGTTATCATCAGTGTAGGTGGAACTATAAAGATGAGGAGGATGTGGCGCAGGTGGACTCGAAATTCGACGAGCATGATATTCCTTATGATGTTCTCTGGCTTGATATTGAGCATACGGATGGGAAGAGATATTTTACGTGGGATAGTGTGTTGTTTCCGAATCCGGAGGAGATGCAGAAGAAGTTGGCTGGGAAGGGGAGGAGGATGGTGACTATTGTGGATCCTCATATTAAGAGGGATGACTCGTACTTTTTGCATAAGGAGGCTACTCAGATGGGGTATTATGTTAAGGATTTGTCTGGAAAGGACTTTGATGGTTGGTGTTGGCCTGGTTCATCGTCTTACATTGATATGTTGAGTCCTGAGATTAGAGAATGGTGGGGTGGAAGGTTCTCGTATAAGAACTATGTTGGTTCAACTCCGTCGTTGTATATATGGAATGACATGAATGAGCCTTCTGTATTCAATGGTCCAGAGGTATAACTTTCTGTTTGATTTGCCTTTGCTTGCTCCATTATTGTTTTTTGTGTAATCTATATAGCTCTAAGTTCTCGTATTCAATAGGATTGTGGTTTCATTGTTTCCCTATATCGTAATTATGGATCTTCACGTTAGTTGTTTTATCAGTTATCTACGTAGCTAGAGAAAATTCATATTTTCTCCGCATTAGACTTTCATGGAAAAAATTTTATCACTGGGAAGAAGATTGACTGGCTTTTTTTATTTTCTTTTCCGAATAGGTTACTATGCCAAGAGATGCATTGCATGTTGGTGGTGTTGAACACAGGGAAGTTCATAACGCTTATGGATATTACTTTCACATGGCAACTTCCGATGGACTTGTCATGCGTGGAGAAGGAAAGGATAGGCCTTTTGTATTGTCAAGAGCAATCTTTCCTGGTACTCAAAGATACGGAGCTATATGGACTGGAGATAACACAGCCGAATGGGAACACCTTAGAGTCTCTATTCCAATGTTATTGACTCTTGGTCTAACTGGAATCACATTCTCAGGTACAGGGATTGATGTATGTTCAAATTCTGCTGGAAGATTATTTTTTCTTTCTCAAATCTAATGGAAGTTTTATTTTATTTTTCAGGAGCTGATATTGGTGGGTTCTTTGGAAATCCTGAACCAGAACTACTTGTTAGGTGGTACCAAGTTGGTGCTTACTATCCATTTTTCAGGGGTCATGCTCATCATGACACCAAAAGACGAGAGCCTTGGTTGTTTGGGTAAGGTTTTAGTACTTGCTTCTTGTCAAGATTTATTATTCGAGTATAAACGTTAGAGGTCTAGTTTGTGACAAACATAGAAAGGATATTGGTTGTACATTAATAAGCAGACTGAAATGCATCTGACAAGTGAATAATATCGCGGGATTAGAAAGTGTTGCAGTCTAGTCAGTTAATTCTATAAATAGCTAACACATTCATCAAGTTAGGTTGTCTGGAGGTCCCTCTGCCTTTGTTTTCCTGCCTCGTTTATTTTGCATTGTCTTATTAAGATCAATTTCATTTTTTTTTCAGTGAACGGAACACAGAACTCATGAGAGATGCCATTCACACTCGCTACACGCTGCTCCCATACTTTTACACGTTATTTAGAGAAGCAAATCTTACGGGTGTACCTGTTGTACGTCCGTTATGGATGGAATTCCCACAAGATGAAGCTACTTTTAGCAACGATGAAGCCTTCATGGTCGGTAGTGGTCTTTTAGTGCAAGGAGTTTACACTAAGGTACTTACGAGCGCAGCTTTCTAATGATTTATTTCACCTTCTTGTTTGTCTCTTACTTAATGAATCATCTCTGACTAAACCAGTTTCTTACTTTCTTCTCGTATATATGCAAAATCAGGGAACAACACATGCTTCCGTGTATTTGCCTGGCAAAGAATCATGGTATGACTTGAGGAACGGAAAGACATACGTTGGAGGCAAGACTTACAAGATGGATGCTCCGGAAGAAAGCATTCCTGCGTTTCAAAGGGCAGGAACTATTATCCCAAGGAAAGACCGTTTCCGTCGAAGTTCTTCTCAAATGGACAATGATCCTTATACTTTGGTACGTTCCAACTCTTCTATTGTCAGTGTCTTATCATCTACTATCACTCCAATGAACAAAGTAACTCGATCAGGTAATAGTAATAGTAAACAAAAACATCTCAGTAACTGAATCCAATGATGACCTATGTGATCTAAGCTCGAAACACCAAGGAAACAGTCATATAAATAGATCCATAGAAAGTTAACCTGTGATTTGGTTGATAAGCCGGTAACGGTCTGTAATCTTTGTTATTATATCCAGGTGGTAGCTTTGAACAGTACTCAAGAAGCAGATGGTGAACTCTACATCGACGATGGAAAAAGCTTCGAATTCAAACGAGGCTCTTACATCCACCGCCGCTTCATCTTCTCCAATGGTGTTCTTACATCAACGAACTTAGCTCCTCCACAAGCAGGCTTCTCTTCCCCATGTTTGATCGACAGAATTATCATCTTGGGACACACCTCTGGTCCGAAATCCGCACTGGTCGAACCTTTGAATCAAAAGGCAGAGATTGAGATGGGACCATTGCGAATGGGTGGGCTAGTAGCTTCCTCTGGTACAAAGGTCTTGACTATCCGCAAACCAGGTGTCCGAGTGGACCAAGACTGGACCGTGAAGGTTCAGTGATTGATGAACCATTCTCGCTCGTGGCCGATATCTACTTTTTTTCTGGCAACGGAGTTTGAATACCTTTTTTTTTTTATATTTTTGAAGTGTTAGACTTAAAAGTAGTTGTAAGAGCTATCAGTTTGAAAGTCACTTGCATTGTTGTTTAACTTGATACAAGAGTTTAGCGTTTTAATAATTTCAGTTAGACACACTCATCCTATAAAGAGTTGAGATCATAAAACGAATTGTCTTGTAGTCAGGCCGGTCTATCCGTTAACGTTTTCGTTTTGCTCAAAACATCTACGTCTATGATCGGTTTTGATTTGATTTCTGGTTCTGGAAGTTTATGTACCGTTTGGTTATTTACAAAATTTAGTTCAGCTTCGGTTCAATTTTTAATTCGGACATCAAAGTTGGAAACTGACTAGTATTTGAAATTTTTTTTAGCTTCAGTTTTGGTTGTTTTTTCAAATTTCAGGTACAGTTCAGGATTTTAAGGTGGAACATTGAATTATTCAGATACTTAATATCGGGTAATTTGGATAATTTTAAATATCTGGATAAAACATACATATAATTCAGGTTTTCAGATATTTTGGTTTATAAATGATATTTTTAGGAAGTGCCCATGCGACAGATTTATAAATAACCAAATTCATTGCTGCTAAACTATAGTTAAATCCTTTACGTTTCATTTTTTTTGTTTGTTTCACATTAATAAACCCATTCTAGCATTACATTTCGGACAAGAAAAAAAAAACAAGGAGGTGAACGGGACAACGAACGTCGTCTTACTCTCACTTGCGCATTAAAGTCATGTGTATTAAAACTGTAGAAGATCAATCAGATTCTGTGGGCTATATTTGATTTTCTTCAGATAACTTTGACATAACCTGGACATTTTACAGGTTTTGGGTGTGTAAAGTTTGCCGCTATTAGTGTTAGATTTGTGTAGGTGAAAACAAGATGCCAAAAGTTTCGTGTAACAAAGTCACGTAACTACCTAGTTTCATGTAACTACCTAGTTTTTTTCTTTTTGTAATATAGACCATGTTCTCTTTAAACTAAAACCTCATGTTTCCAGACAGTATTCCGTTCATGAATCTCAAATTATATATAAACTAATAAATTTAGGATTTAGGAATGTAAATGTAGGTGAATATAATAAATAAAATAAGAGAACTTGGAATTCAAAAAGAGTTTTTGAAAGTGTTCATCAAAGAGAAAATGCTAAATAATAGCTCACTTGCATGACAAATTCGATTCTCTTCTGATCATGCATTTTCCCTTTATTTTGTTCGTGTAAAGTTTAAACCAATCATATTGTTGGCCTAGTATATATATAATATATATATTCATTAGTTCTTAATATAGCCTACTACTCGGAAGCAATTGAAGTAAGAATGAGTTTTGTTAATTATTAATTAGTACGAGTGATTAGATCGAACCCCAGGTTGTGGAGGTGTAAAACAAGCATATGATTCTTTTTCACTAAAGAATATAGGGGAATCAAAATAAACCTTAAAAATCTCTCAAGTTGAAATACTTATATACATATTGTACATTTAAAAGAAAGACAATATTATTCGCTTGTGATATATATGTTTATGTCAGTACATCTTCTTAGCTCAAGTTATATATATATTTTTTGGTAAAACATGTTATATAATATAGTCAACTCAATACATTGATATTCAGTAGACTCAGCGATGTAAAATATATCTAGGATCAGAAATTTATTGACCCATGCAATCACATGCGAATCAAGAATCATTGATAACGATCTATTGAGCGATGGCATGATGTTTGCAATAGTAAGAGAAGAAGAAAACATTTGAGAAGAAGAGTACACGCTATATCACTCACACACAAAGAATGGGAGAGAGGATAAGAAAACTATGTACTAGTAGTTTCCTTATTCATTGTCTGACCATGCAATGTTTTGCAATATGATAAGTTATAACTTATGACAGCAGTTTTAGCTTCCGGCTATATATGTGCAACTACTGATGTATATAGTCGCATGTAAAAAAAATAATACTGTGAATACTGATCATATACCCAAAAAAATATCTAATTTATTGAGGAATCACAAATGTGATGTTTAGTATCAAAATGTATTTTCTTTTAAAATGTACTATATTATATATGCACCACAAATAAATGTTTTTCACTTATATTTTTTATTCAGATCATATATAGACATGATGGATGCCCTTAATAGCAATAAGCATATCATACAAACAACAATATAATATCTGTTGGCTTATGTGGTCGAATTTCACATATCGTACCTGTAAATATTAAGCAGGTAATAACTCACGTCTTACGCGGAATGAAACTATTTGTTTCATTTTTTAAGATAAGAAAATATTATGTATATTTAATCTGGATATCGGTTTGATTTTAGATTAGTTTCTTTTTAGATTTTAATCAATTGAAATATAATTACTATTTTAATCAATATTTATTCTGTTTATTCAGTTAAAATACTTAAAGTTTTTTTTTTTTTTTAATGATAACCAAAAACTATTATCATTTGTTTGGTTTCATGTTATATGAATTTTAGACAATCATGATGTCAAACCAATAATTTCATTTTATAATTTCTAAAGGTGTGAAAAAAATCAAATCAAAGCAAATCTAGATAATAATTAAAGAAAAAGAAAAAAAAAATATTAAGACAAATCATTTCATCACAATTTGGTTGATGGTGAATAAAAACATTTTAAAAAGAATATGTCAGATTTCAAGAGAATTAAAATCCCATTTTTAGTGAATATTTAGTTATGTAGGTGCTCACGTATTACTCAAAACGGCGCTCATGTCAATGTGCACATATATGTAGGACTGGACAAAATATCCGTAATTTTTTTTATTTGATTTGTCATCTTTTTCGATTCGAACAAAAAATCTAGATATCCGTTGCGAAGAAAAGAAATACTAATATGCAATATACGTAAAAAATGAAGCAAATCACAAATACTAATTTTTTTATAAAAAAAAGGATATTCGATCTGATCTGTTATATGCTTAGATATATATATATACATATATTTAATGAAGTGTATATATAGCTTATATAAATAATATATTCTATATAAGTTCTACTATATTTTTATTTACTAAATTTATTAAATTAAGTATTAATATTCAAAAAGTAAATAAGTTTTATTTTTTTGTAACAATATTTTTTTGTAACAAATTTATATTATTTTAGATTTTTTTTTTTATTTATTTATTTTTATTTGTTTTTTCGGACCAAAACCGGTTGAAATATAATTTTTCCGGAACACCGTATATCTAGATGACTGCAAACTGAATCGGATAATTGATTATTAGGACGAAAGATATTAGATCACGAATACCTCTAAAACCTCGGATATCCGATTCCTGTCCATTCTTACATCTATGTGTATGTAAAAAGTATATAAAGGTGGTTGATAAATATATAATGATACCATAATCAACATTAAGAGAAAATAACACATGAAATATAATATTTTATTAAAATAAATTAAGTAAAAATAAATAAGCCTAGACATAGTGATTTTTTGTAAATTTTCTTTCTTTATAGAACTTTTGTATAATCCGTAGAACCGTGTATATAAGTTTTATACTAAAATAAAATAAAATAGTATATAGTGTGGATGTATTTATGTGGAGTTTGACTGAAAAACTCTTTGCACGTGACACGTTAGTATATTCATTCTCAAATCACTGTGAAACTGCCAGGTGATAAATGTAATATAAACACATTAAATAACAATGGTTCGCCTTTAATATACATGGGATTTTGTGTACCAAAGAAATAATAAAATAAGTTTCTCCTCTTCCACTTTTGATGGCTTATAAAAGATGATGAACCAAAACAAACAAAATGCAACAGCATTATTATTGCTCTCAGCACCCATCTCCTTTGCATTTTCTTTGTCCATTGCTTATTCTCTTAAGGCTCAACAACAACAACAAGAGGTACTATAACTACTCTCTCTCTCTCTCTTGAAAACTATATATTTACCACCAACTATCGTTAAGTTATAACAGTTTTTAGAATTAATATTAACTCTCTTTGTAACTTTGATGTCTTGCTACAACCTAGATGGATGTTCCTCGGCCAGCTTTTAAATGTTTCGATGATGATGGTCGACCTAAGAGATCAGGTAAAGTAACAATAAACCTATGTAATGGTTGATTCTAGCTTAGAGAGTACGTAACAAGAGTCAGGCGGCGATGATAATAAGTGAATGTTCATTTTTTCATCAGGGACGGTTTGGACCGCGAGTGCGCATATTTTAACCGCTGTAATTGGATCTGGTGTTCTATCACTGGCATGGGCCATAGGTCAACTCGGTTGGATCGCTGGTCCAGCAGTGATGTTCTTGTTCTCTTTTGTCACTTACTACTCTTCCACTCTTCTCAGTGACTGCTACAGAACCGGAGATCCTGTTTCCGGAAAGAGAAACTATACTTACATGGATGCTGTCCAATCAATCCTCGGTATTATAAACTATTCTTAGAGCATCTTCAACCCTAGTACCCTATCTGAAATGCTTAATTTTTTTGGTTTAATTTAAAAAATAATAATAATAAAAACAAAGCAATCGTGGATCGCCACATGTCAGTAGAACCCGCGAATAGTGCAAGCAACTAACCATTTAGAGTGCTCAGTTAAGCATTTTAAAAAGTGGTGCTTATTGTCCAAAAAAAAAGAAATGGTGCTTAGTGTTTTTTTGTGGGACCCACTGACAAAAGCACTAAGCACCCCCTTAAGCATTCCCTTAATGATGCTTTTATAATTTTATAAAAAATGTTATTTTGGCATACTTTTCACAAATTAAGAAAATTCATTCATATTTCTAATAATTATATCTATTTTATTAATAGTTTTTAAAATAAGAAAAATTAAATCAAAGTATTTTGTAATTAATACTAAGGTTAAAATATATAAATTTTGTTGAAATTTTAAAATGACATTGTTTTAAAATGATTTTCTTTGTAAAACAGAAGAATCTGTTCCACTCTGCTCTCTTATGCCTTTATTCTGTCTTGTGTTCTTCTGACAGGTGGGTTTAGGTTCAGGATTTGTGGACTGATTCAGTTCTTGAATCTTTTCGGTACCACGATTGGGTACACAATCGCAGCATCTATAAGCATGATGTGAGTGTCTCTAAAAGAATTTCTTTTGATATAAATAATGAGAGAGCACCCTAAAAGTCTAGTGAGTTTTAGGGCAATCAAGAGGTCGAACTGTTTCCACGAGAGCGGAGGGAAGAACCTATGTCACATGTCAAGCAA